AAACACATCCTTAAATATTGTCCTTAAGGTGTTATTAGGTTGAATAGGTTCAAATTAGGTTTCATGACTAACCCTTGGGTAACATAGGAAAATGCAACACATAATTGCAAGCAATGTCCTTAGAACTAGGGGAACCTAGGCTAAGTACATCCTAATCATGCAAAGATTAAATAAAAATTAATAGGACTAATGATTTGATTAGTGAATAATTGGAGTCCAATTATTCACTAATCCTTCCCCATGAATTCCATTCATATGCTTAACCAATGTTTAGAATTTCAAAAAGATATCTAAATATTTAGAGATTTAAATACATATAAATTTAATATATATATATATATATATATATTATATATATCATATATAATAAATATATATATATATAAACCTATACATAAGAAAGATAAACCTTAAATAAAATACCTTAAAATAATTCTAAAAAGTTTGTAAGAGATCCATCTAAATCATTTAAAATAATTAAAATAATTAAAAAAAAAAATTTATTTTCAAATATTTTATATAATAATTAATTCATATTAATTAAGTATTTAAGTAATTAAATAATAAAGATTAATTATTACAAATTTTGTTTTTAATTCTATGAAATTAATTTTAAATATACCAGAGGAACTTATATTTTTTTTTATAAAATTGTTAAAAACGTTTTGATATTTTTCTTTTTAAATTGAATTTAATATGAATTTTTGAAAAGGATTTAGAAGGTAATTAAAGGTATTTAAAATAAGTTTAAGAACAATAACATTTATAATAAGTATTAAATTAAATTTATCTCTTAAATTTTTTTAATTATATTTAAAATAAATTCTAATAATATTTTTCAAAAATTATTTGAATATTATTAAATATTTAAAAGGTTTAAATTAATTAAGACTTATTTTAAATTAATTTAATTTTAAATTAATATATTTTAAGATGATCATTTAATTATTTAAAGTATTTTAATAAAAATTTATTTTAAAGTATTTAATATTTAATTAATCAAATTTTAATTAATTATTTAAATATTTAAATAACCTAAATGATTTAAATTATATGCAAAAGAACCCTAGGTTAAGTTTTTTGTCTCATTTGATCGATCGGATCTGTCAAATTTAATGAAATTATAAACATAGATAATACACATGAAGGGCATTAATGGGTGACCGTTCTCGCAGTCTAAAACACACTTATTGAAAAGTTTAATTGATATAAGTGTACTAACTTAGGGTTTAGGACTTTACCCAAAATATACTTTGATTTTCGGAGATCTTAGGCTTGTTACACTTGTAGAATGTCCACACTCTTATTTTAAGAAGAAATCATTGTCTAAAAAGCATTGGATAGAAAGATATATTCCTTGGATAAATTAAGGCCTCGGGTCGCCATAGACCTCATCACCAATGAGCTTTGACCGATGGATTTGACTTGGGGGAGGTGGAGTGAGATAAGGGGAGCTCAGTGGAACAAAGAACTGGACTTAAGGAGGCTTAGCAAAAGAATAATCAAGATCCTCCCTAATGAGGCCTTAGGCCCTATTTATAGCCTTAACCCTAGAATGGATGCCCAAGATGGCTCCTAGGGTTAATTAAGAGAGATCTAAGCTCCCTTGGCTATGTTTTCGGTCAAGGGCAGGCTTGAAGGTGTTTAAATTCCATATGGGTTAAGTATTTGACCTAAATAGGTCAATTTTGACCAAATCAATGTTGGGTTAACCAAGTCAAGTGTTAACTAGGTCAACATGGTCAATAAAGCCCAAATTGATTAAGAATGAGCTCAAGGGGATTTGAAATTGATTTAAATTCAAATAAAGGTGAGTTGGACTATGGTCAACTTAGGTTGACTTGATCAACCAGGTTGACCCAAGACCTGAATCTAGGATCAACAAGTTTGGTTTGACTTATTGAACCTAATGGAAGTGGTCAAGGATTTGGCTTGGTTAATTTGACCAAGTTAACCCTCTTGACCCTAGTCTAGTGAAAAGTAAGGTCAACACAAGATGACTTGTCTAGTGAGTCAATACATGACCATAGTCTAAGATCTCCTTTATCTTATTGAGATTGTCACTAATGCCTACAAGGATGAGGAAAATTATGTAGAATTTATATGAACCTTCATCAATGTTATACTTAAAAGTATTAAGTCACATATTATACCTTTTTAATGTGGTGAGGCTCTCCTTTTGTCTTGGTTATGTTGCTCCAATAATTTTCTCTTCATTAAGAGGTCATCAATATGCACGTACATATGTCATCCATTTGGTCCTTCAAGACTTTATCTATATTCCTTTCATAGGTCACCTCATCATTATTAAGGTCAATGTCATCACCTTATAATAGTATCAGCCATCACTAGTGAAAAGATTTCTTTCATAAACACTATGATGCATCTTTATTTAATTGTTAAAAAAAAACATTAAAGATGCTCATAACTAGAAATGTTAATTATTTATTGACAAATGTGTCAACATTAGAGAGTAGGCATCCATACTTATGTTAATTTGAAGTTTTGTTTGAAGAATACACACTTTTCAATTTTTCATTTGACCTCTAAATCATTACTATATTTGAGATCCTATCAAGGCATTGTACCTCCTTAATAAAGTTGGTATCCAATAATTTATGGTCTTTTTAATTGATGGGATCAAATAAGATTGTTGTAGTGTTTCTTATTTTATACTTGATATGCCTATCTTTCTTCTTAAAACTCAATTAATGGTAGGCAACTTTTACAAGAATTCTTGGCATTTATTTTTTTCCAAATAAATATATTAAGTATGTTCCTAAACATCAAGATTTATTTATTTTGATGTGCTAGCTGAATAATGAACTTATTATTAGATTTCTCTTAAAATTTTCTATTATCTCTTTTACTTCATCCACTACTTCAATGGCTCCTAACTTTGATTCTCTCTCTACTCCCAACTATAGTACTTCCTCTATGGAAGTTGCCACCTTCTACATAGCCTTCAAATTATATGCTTGTAACTAGGTGAAGTTTGCCCTCATCATGATTTCTTGGTCTTCTACTAGTAACTTTATCACCTTGTTGTATGTTGAGTCAACATATTTGAAGGTGTCTAGGATGGGTCTTCCAAATATTATATTATAGGTGGTCGTTAGTGGAATTATTATTATAGTGTTTATTATCATCATTTGCTTTGAAAATATCTCACTTAATGATTTTGTGCAGGAGAATGGGCTTAAAATGCGACAAAATTGAAACAAAATGTTGAGTGTCATAGTGAGAAACTTAGGATCACCATGACATTCAACATTAAATTCAACTAAAAAGTCAGAGAGAAAGCACCATAGTGGAGGAAAGGCCAGCGCCATAGTGCTAGTTCACATTAATGCTTCAACACTAGATCACCTGTGCATTATAGTGGAGCAGTTAATTTGTTTACCACTAGGTAAATCAAACTTCAATTTAGTTAGAGTGCCATAGCATAACACTTCATTAATGCCATAGCGTTAGTACATTTCATCAGAGTAGTATCACTACCACTAGTAGCACCATAACACCGATTCAATTATGTGTATTAAATGTAAATAGATTGGCCAAAGTTTTTGTAGGGGTTGGCCATTTATTCATGTTCATTCAGTCTTAGGCATAGTTTGGAGTGAGGGAGAGAGTGAGTTAAATCAAGGGATTCAAGTTCAATAATGAGAGTATTTAATACTTCTTTCAAGAATTCCTAGTGATAGCTGTCCTTTCCTTTCATCTTATACTTTTGTTTCTCGTTGAAATGGAAAAAAACTTAATGGATTTTTATTTTCATGGCTAGCTAAATCAATGCTATGGGCCTAGAGTCTTATAATCATAAAGGATATATAATCACTTTAGTTAAGTGCAATCTTGGCTAAAAATTCTAAGAAGCTTGATAGAAATGAGGACTATTTATACTTTGATTCATACTTTGATTCACAACATCATTATAAGATATCACTCTTTTGCATTCATAAGTTCTTAACTATCATAGGTTTAGAGTCACTTAGTTAGACTTTTTTTTTTTACAAACTTAGCTGATTATTTTTATTATCTCACCATTTTAAATTTATTGATAAGATAAATTAAGCAATTCATATAGGCGGTATTATCATGAACTAGTGGTTGCAACTATCCTTATTGGAATAATATTTAACTTAGTATTATATTAATTGATGTGGCATGTACACTTGCATAGATCTACTAATAACCTATAACTGACATGAAGTGATAAGGTTTACAAATTAGTTCTTCAAGGTTTTAGTGTCATTACTATGGGATAGTGGATAATTATCCTTTCATTCACTTTAGATTCCTTAAAGGATTGCTTATTAATTCTTATCATAAAAAATTTTCAACCTATTTTGTTTTTGTACTATTTTTTTACTTTTAGTTCATTATATGATGTAGTGGAGTTAGATTTGTTTTAATTAAATGTTTTTATTAATGCAAATTATTCTTAAAGTGCTATATTGTTAGCTATTACACTATGTTGTGATTGTCATTTTCATATTATTTATGTTATTATTTTATACATGATCTAGATGAATTAAGAGAAGTCTTATTTGACCAAGAAAAAGAAAAAAATCTTTAAAAATTTCTAAAAAATAATAAAAAGAATTAGAAATGGGTAACCTAGTTCAATAAAATGATCAACCAGACCATAAAGGGAATATGCAAACCCAATGGTATAGGGCATTCATTAAAGCATTAGTAGACCTAACATTAAATATAATAACATTTTAAGCCTATAATCATTCAAATGGTACAAAAATTAAATTTTTGGGGAGCTCCTATAATGGATCCAAACTTGCATATTGTAAGTTTCTTTAAGATATATTCAACATTTAAATACAACAAAGTCTTTGATGACTTAGTTAAACTTAAAATATTTTCATTCTCCTTAATATATATGCCAAAATATTTTTTGAACCTCTTATCCCGAGGCTCAATTAAAACATGAAATGACTTAGCTCAAGAGTTTCAAGTTAAGTACTTCCCTCCATAAAAAAATAAATCTTAGAAATGATATCACATCATTCACTCAATTAAATAGAGAATCCATATACGAAGCTTGGGAGATATTTATGGAATTGCTTAGAAAGTGCCCATATCATGCCTTGCCTAATTTTCTAATTATCCAGACTTTTATAATGGTCTTTTAGGATCCCTTAGATTAATGACATATATTGTTAGTGGTGATTCTTTGATGTATAAACCCTTTAATAAAGCATGTGCTTTGGTTGAAGAGATGGCCACCAATAACTTTTAATTGTTATATGAGAGAGAGTAAACATTAAGAAAGTGTCTAGTGTCTATGAATATAATGCCTTATCTATACTGATTGCCTAAGCAGTAGTCATATATAAAAAATTGGATAACATTGAAGTTAGCACATCTCATGGCACACCTATATTAGTATAGGAGAGTATTTATTGATCATCTAGTGACCTAACTTCATTAAGGGTTAAATCTTTGAATGAAATAAATAATAGATAGACTAACCCTTACTCTACCACCTATAATCTAGGTTAGAAGAATCCCCCTAAATTTAAATGGAGTAATAATCAGGATGGGGGTGATAACTGGATTCCTAGTTAACCCAACTATGTATGGAGTTGTAACCTTCCTCAATAATAATTTTAAAACTAATGACCTAGTTATCCCCTAGGGTTTAATGTAAATAATAAATTTAAGAATAAGATGCCATCCTTAGAAGACCTAGTGTTGTAAATAGGGAACCAATTACAAAGCTAAGTTATTACAATAAAGAATATTGAAATTAATTTGGGTACTTAACTAGTTCTTCTTTAATTTTAATCAAGAAGAAGAAATTAGGAGACTTTGTAACTATTTCTCTTACTGAGGAATATAGTGTAATCCTACAAAAGAAACTCCCTCAATAGCTGAAGAACCCTGGTACTTTTACTATTGCTATTACTATAGGGGATAAATTTTGTGAAAGAGCACTACGTGACTTAGGAACTAGTGAACATCACATGACCCTTTCTAATTTCAAGATACTTGACCTAGGAGATGTTCAACTCACTATTAATCTTCAGTCAGATGATTATTCATTAACTAATCTAAGGGAGATGATATAGGATTGCCTTATAGAAGTTTATAAGTTTATCTTTCTTATTGATTTTATTACCTTATATATGGTGGAAGATAAATAAATACCTTTTATCTTGAGTAGATGTTTTTTAGACATAGGAAGGACCATAATTGATGTGCATAAGGGAGAGTTAATGATGAGGGTTCAGGATCAAGAAGTGACCTTTAATGTTTGAAAGTCTATGAAGATTCCTAAGGATCATAGTGAGGATTGTGTTAGAGAGGACTAGCTAGATGATTGTGTAAATGATTTTATGGATGAGTAGTTTCTTGATAGTTCATTGAAATGCTTATTGTTTCAGGATGACTTAGGAAAGGTTGATAGAGATTCTTTTCATGTGCTTAGAGAATCCTCTAGAGTTTTATGAGAGAGATATGAAGTTTTAGATACATTATTTACAGAAAAGTCATTGAAACCATTTGTTGTAGAGGCTCAAATTCTTGGATTGAAAGCCCTACTTTCATATATGAAGTATGCATTCTTAAGTGAGAAATCAACTTTACATGTCATTATTTCTATCGAGTTAGGAAAAGGCCAAGATGGTAAGTTGATTAGGATTCTTAGAACTTATAAGAGAGCATTTGGTTGGACAATATTTAACATTAAGGGGTTAGTCCCTCATTGGTATTCATAAGATTTTAATGGAAGAAATTTTCCAACCAAAAGTTGTCCCACAAAGTTGATTGAAACATATTATGAAGGAGGTAGTGAAGATGGAAATTCCTAAATGGCCTAATGCTAGTATTATTTCTCCCATTTATTGTAGTGCATGGGGTTGTCCTAATTATTGTATGCCAAAGAAGGGAGGTATGAGAGTAATAGCCACTGAGAAGAATGCTTTGATACCCACGAGGAAAATCATAAGTTTGAGTATATATATAAATTTTAGAAGACTGAAAAAAACTACAAGGAAGGTTCATTTTCATTATCCTTTGTTAATCATATGCTTGATAGTTAAAAGGTCACCCTATTTATTTCTACTAAATGGTTATTCAGGATACTACCAAATTAATAAGCACCAGAAGACCAAGAAAAAAAAACATTTACTAGTCCTTATGGAACATTTTCTTCTAACAGGATATGCTTTGGATTTTGCAATACCACTGCTACTTTCCACAGGTTTATAATGTTAATTTTTTTAGATTTAATTGAACAAAGTATTGAGATATTTATGGATGACTTCTCTATTTTTGTTACCTCTTTTAATTATTGTTTAGAGCATTTATCTTGAAAGTTCGTTAGGGATGTTAAGCCCTTTAGAACTAGCCTGAGGCTAACCAAGAGGGGGGGTGAATTAGTATTTAAAAAAAATTCTTTTTAGCAAAGCACAACAAAACTTGAAACCAAATCACCACAGAAATCAAGGTGCAAAAATAAACGCGGAAGCAAAACAAAGAAATATCACACTGGATTTATAGTGGTTTGGTCAATTCTTGATGTACGTCCACTCCTCGGAGGCACCCTCCGAGTATTGCACTAACTAAGTGTCTCTCCTTTAGCTCCCACAACTAGGCAGTGAAGCCTTTACAACAGACTCATTTTCACTAACCCCGGTGCGGCTGAGAACCGATGCCTTTTGCTTCCTCCTGAAGCGGATAGAGAACCCAGACCTTTGCTGAAGTAGACCTCCCAAGAACCTCCCAAGGACGAAGGATTAAGAACGGAGACGACGTCTTGGAACCTTGCTTGGAGCAACCTTTGTGAACCCTCTCATAAACTCCCCCTCACAAATTCCTTTCTCTTTCTCTCTCTCTCCCTCTCCCAAGGCTTTCTCAGGTCAAGATAGCAGCACTCAAAGTTTTAAGCATGAGGAAATTTGGGTCCTTTAAATAGAATTTTAAGAACCGACTTTATCATCCAGGCCGATATAAATATCATCCTGGCCGATTAGTATAAAATAAGCTCAATCAACTAGGACGATTCAAGACGATCAGAAGAAAATTGATTATATCATCCAGGCCGATACAATATCATCCTGGATAATTAGTTCAAATCCAAGTACAATCATCCTGAACAACGCCTTGAATAGAGTCTGGCCGATGAAAATAGTCCAGGACATCTTCCGGGCCGATTCTACGATCGGCCTGGCCGATGTGATCATATCAATCAGCCTTAATTTCTTTCCCATAATTGCCTGATTAATTTAGGCATAATTGTGCTGTATCATCCATGCCGGTATGGAGATCATTCGGGATGATAATTTAAAATAAAAAATACCTAAATTAATCATGGCAGCTGATTCTTTCTAATTTGAGCCTATCGTCCGGGCCGATACACGTATCGTCTAGGATAATTTTCTTAATGATGGCTGCTTAACCAGGATGCCCTAATTAGGGTTTATATTTTTAGTTGAATCGTCCTCGCCGATAGAAAAATAGTCCAGGCCGATGTACTCAAAACAGAAAAATTCAGAAAACCCCTCAAGTGTGTGTGTACAAGGTTACTTAGCCTCAGGAACCACTTTTACAATTGACTCATGAAAGGAAAAAATACAGACTTGACTCAACCTAAATCTACCCGATCTTGAGCTGGCTTGAGCTGTATTCGATCTTGTGGTCCTGAAAAGTTAGTAGGCAAAGTAGTTGTAGGGAAACATGAATGTTTGTTATCATCAAAAGTCTAATCCATAATCTCAGATTCACAACATATCTGTCAATTTAAAAAGATGTGAAGAATCAAATTTGGTATGAAATTATGAGTTGTGTTTATTTATGGTTGTAGAAGGCATTGTGTTAGGACATAAGATTTTAGAGAGAGAGGTTTAGAAGTGGATAGAGTCAAAATTAAGGTAATTAATAATATGCCACCACTTACTTCTATTAAGGGAATTAGAATCTTTTAAGGAAAGGTTAATTTTTATAGAAGATTTATAAGATATTTCATTAAAATAACTAAGAATATACACATTATTATTGCATTTTATTATACTCTATTTGATTAGCAACAAACTTATTATATATAATAACCATTATGTTATTAAATATATGGTGAATAAAATGATGCCAAGCATATATTGGTGAGGTGGATTCTTTTATTATAACAATTTGAAGTAGAAATTTAAAATAAAAATGGATCAAAGAATTGGGGTGTTGATCATTTTTATAGACTAAAATTAAAAAAACCTACATATAATGAGTGTGGCATCGATGATTTTTTTGGATGAAAAGTTACTTGCATTGAATTCATTGTGTGTGTCATAGTATGCTAACATTATAAACTATATTATGAGTGGAGTAATTCCATTTGATATGACACACACCTAGAGGTAGAAATTTTTTTGGGATGAGCCATATTTATTTAGAAAATATAAATGTCAAATCATTTGGAGGAGAGTCCCAAATGAGGAGATATAACCCATCATTAGGCAATGTCATGGCTCAAAATATAGAGGGAAATTTAGAGGATTTAGAATGGCTTCTAAAATCCTATAATTTGGATTCTATTGGCCTACCTTGTGTAAGGATGTAAATGATTACTTTAAAAGATATAATAGGTATTAAAGGGTAGAAAATATTTCAAAAAGAAATGAAGGCCCATTGAATTATATTATGGGTTGAAATCTTTAATGTTTAGAGACTAGACTTAATAGGTCCTTTTGTTCAATCTTTTGGGAATCAATATATATTCATAGTAGTTAAGTATGCCTCCAAATGGATTGAAGAAGTGGAAACACAAAACATTAATGCCCAAGTTATGATAAAATTAAAAAAAAAAACGTTATCTTTTTAAAATTTGGAGTACCTAGGGTAATTATTAATTATAGGGAGAGTCACCTATTAGGAGAGTAAAAACTTTAGTTTTAATATATGGAATTAAACAAAGAGTAGAAATTGCTTATCATCTCAATAATAGTGGTTAAGATGATATTAGATTAGTCAATTCTCTTTCCACTTTTACTAGTAAAAACTCGCATGTGATTTTCAGACTTAAGTGCACAAAAAAATAATTTAAATATTTTGTGTTTAATTGTGCTAAGTCACATTCTTATACAGTCCAGTCAACAA